CTTCTCATCGCCCTTCGTGATGACCTTGAAGGGCCAGTGCTTCATGTCCGCCTGCACCACAGAGTCGCTGAACTTGCGGCCAATGAGGCGCTTCGCGTCGAACACGGTGTTGTGCGGGTTCATCGCCACCTGGTTCTTCGCCGCGTCACCAATGAGGCGCTCCGTATCGGTGAAGGCCACGTAGGACGGCGTCGTGCGGTTACCTTGGTCGTTCGCGATGATCTCCACGCGCTCATTCTGCCACACGCCCACGCACGAGTACGTCGTGCCTAGGTCAATGCCAATAGCGCCTTCGTATGCCATTTTCAAATCCGGGACCGGGTTCTAGATGCTTTGCAGTAGTGAAGCTTTCTCCGTGAGTTGGGGGGCAGGGGGAAGAAGTGTGAAATGTGGTAATAAGTGTGAGCGAGTGATTTGAATCCTTTATGGAGGTAAATGATTTTATATATTTGCGTGTCTAGGGCTTTCACTGGTTTTTGTCATTATCAATGTTGACATGAAGCCTAGAGTGGGTTGTGTTGCTTGGGAGAGCGATACGATTTGTTGTGCAACTCTTTGGCCGCATCCATTAATGACTCACCTGCTTGGTAAGTGGTTGTCGTGGATTGCCTGGGTGGGGTCGGCCGGATTGCCGACCCAGTGGCCTGCTGCAGCTGAACCTCAAGATGCTTCTTTCTGGCGGCAAGCCATGCACCGATGTGGTGAACGTTATGGGAGGTTGACGTCGAGTCCCCCTCTCTCTTTGATGTCGTTCTTCGTGTGGTGTTGGGTAGCTCTTGCTTTGATGCTGATGGCTCCATGCGGAGTTCGCGGCGCTTTGCTGCCGCTTTCGGTGTGCTGTTAGCATGCTGCTGCTGCGGTGGGGAAGATATGTTTTCCCCTAGTTCGTTAATGAGTGATGCGACGTGGCGCAAGCCGCCGAGGTGGCTGAATATGGCGTTCAGGTGTGGGCTGCCGTATTCGCGACACGGAACCACAGGCAACACGGCTGTCTCGGCTGTGGTGGTCTTCTGAAAGAGGCGGAAGCGCAAGCGATCAGTGGATTCCACGAAGAGCCGCAGCACGTCAATAACAGCCTCTAATATGGTGCTGAGCTCTGTGTCCGCCACGGCGCGAACAATATTACTGCTATCGGGGGCGCTATTGTACTTCACTGGCGTTACAGCTCTGTCTAGCTGGGCGTGTAGGTGGCGCCGCTCCTCCACATGGAGTGCGGCGCGTTCTTCCAGCAGCCGCTCATTTGCCTCCTTCTCACGTATGATCTGCATCTGCACTGCCGTCTTGCTTTCCAAGCTGTGGATTTTCTCCCGCAGCTCTTTTATGTGCGCATTTGTGCCGATCGGGTCATCGCCGCCAGCAGCAGCGCCATGGCACCATGCCGGCGGAGCCGTCGCCGCTGTTGCAGTTGCTGTCGAACTGGGGAGCGACGACCAGGTGGGAGTGTACAGCACCTCCGTCGTCATGGTGCCGCGGTCAACGGTAAGTGCGCGGCGATGCTGCGCGGTGGCAGACGCGCTGCTGCTAATGCCGTAGCCGCTGTCACGATGCGCGTCGCGCTCCATCAGGCGCTTGAGGTCCTCGAAGAGAGCGCTGTTCTGTTGGCTAAGCGCCTGCAGCTCCTGCTTCGCCAGCAGCTGTTGCTGCTCACTCACCTCGCGCTGCCGCTGCAGGAGCAACTGCAGCCGCTCCACGCCCTCCTCTGCAACTCCACGCGCCTTGTGCTCCGTCTCCAACTCATTCAGCAGCCGCTCGTTTTCCACGACGAACGCGGTGACCTCGCCCCTCAGTCCCTCGAGCGCTTTGCTCTCGATCTGGGCCACGACGTCGCTCTCCGCCTCCGACCGTGTGCGGGTTGCGCGGCTGTGCGCGGTTCTAGCCCGCTCCGCCTTCAGCTCCCGCTTCAGCTGCGCGACCTCGCGTGTGAGGCCACG